AAGGAAAAAAACCTCGTGGATTGAGAAAAGAACGATTTAATAACTGAAGGAAAAAAACCCAAGTGATGCAATGGCAGTCAGTCACCACCTCCTACCAGCAGCCAGTTTCTGAACACCAGTTAATCTGAAAAATACTGCCTCCACCCCTGCAACTTGTTGCTGAGCATGATGTTACATGGTATGGGATATCTCTGATTAGTTTGGACCAGCTATCCCAGATGTGTCCTCTTCTAGCCCACCATCTGCCTGCTCGCTGAGGGGCAGGGTAAAGAAACAGAAGGCCCTGACGCTGTGCAAGAACTGTTCACCAGTAGCTGAAACACTGGCATGTTTCAAATAATAATAAAATAGAATAATAATAAAATAATAAAATACATCTGCTATGCGTGAGAATTTACTGCAAATACAGTTAAAGCTTGGAAACAATTGTATACAAGTCTTTTAAAGGTAACTGTATGCAATCTTTCGTTTTTTTAGAACATTTTGTGGGGTATAAGAGAATTGGTACCATTGGTGTTTTTACATCATAAAGGCAAAAGTCCAGAGTGGGAGAATCAGGAATTTGCGGACATAGAACGAAGTAATTCTGCGGATTCTTTGGCATGTCTGTCATATCTGATATTTGTTCAGCATTTTGGTATCGATTGCTTTCCGGTGGTATTTAGGTAAGAACTATTCTCCTGGCTTTAGCCTAAGTCTGTACTTTGAAGATTCTTTCTCAGCAGAAGGTTGTTTCTGAATAGTTATGAATGAAAACTGTGTATTTCTATCACTAGTATTTGTTTTATGTCAACCTTTATGCGTTTGTATTTTATGCAGCGTATATTATATACATAAGAACATACTCCAGTCCTACAGATTACTGTGTTACACTTTAATTTTGGATGAACTGTCCTTTCAAAAGAACTGGTAGGATTAGTCACACGCTGAAAATTAACATGTATTAAACTTTGAATTCCATATTTATAGACAATTTCCATGTAAGAGTTACGAACAGCAGTTTGACTATTGTGTGTCTATTTAAAAATTAATAATTTTGTAAAGATACTTTTATAAGTTGACAGGATTAGTCTTTTTTGAAAAAAAAAAGTGCAAATGTGTATGGCTTATGCAGTTTAATGTCAATCTGGTTTTTCTCTTTCAGTCCATCATACCTTCTGCAATGCAACATGACATGTATTGAAGTGCTGTTGAAAAGGTAGGGTTTGTAGTGGTTGGAGTTATAGCCAGTGGGTGTCATCTTTTATAGTAGTTAATTGAATCAAATTTTGGATATACCAGCTGAGTTCAAAGGAGGTTTTTAAATTTGAGAGTTAAAATTGCAAGTTCCATAAGAAGATTGCTGCTTTTACTAAGAAGTGCAAAAAGTTGTCTGAAACGTTGATTTATTGTTTGCAGCTTGCGCTGTGGTATCACTTTTTAGAAGCTTTATTCTGTGAATGCAAAGTTAAGGTCTTTTAAACACATGCAGAAGAATTAGAGTGTATATTTACTTGTACTTCTGTAACAATTAGTTTACTACTAGAGGAGGCAACCCTGATGGTATTTATTGGAATGTATGCTGATATGATACACAGTCTGCTTAAAGGTCAGGCTTTCTAAGGGAAACCAGACTTGTTTGATATATTGTGATGATTTCACCTTCCATAAGCAGCAGTGATGACCAAATAGTTTCCAGCACTGCTAATGAAGGGAAGTTTCCCATTTTGACTGCTTACCATTTCCTGGTAAAACTGAAACAGAACTCCTGGTCTCTTCAGTTTAGGATCTGCTGTGTTTTTCTTAGGCCTGCGGAACCGTGCAACCTGGGGAAAGTTTCCTTTTTGTTGTTAATCAGTGTCTCGATACTTGTGAGATACGAGATGCTGCTCTTGAGCATTTATGAATACTGAGGAAAAAAAACCTGTCACTTTTGACCCCGAAGAGAGGAGTCTGGTTTTCAGCTTTCATCAGCCAGTTTATTCTAAAAGTCTTTGAGAGGAATAACGAAGCTACTGTATCTAGAAAACAGAATGCAAATGTTGCGAGGCAGGTTCTTTTTGATCTCTGTTCTGATGGTTATTCTGAAACATCAACAGTGTCTTTTTAGTTGACGACTTAAATTTAATAATGTGTCTTTTTTCTAGAACAGAAGAATCTGTGTTATCTAAAGGACTTGTAAGTTTTCTTTTAATAAAATTTTCCATGTTTAGAATGTTTATCTTTTTTAATTTAAGTAATAATAAAACTTCCGTTTGCCTTTCTAAGAGAGGTACAGATGGTAATAGTTTCAGAAATATTTTGAGGCTTCAGTCTTACAAACACATTTATTGAACCTTGCATGCATGCATAAATGTTTGAACTACAATTATCACGTACATTTGTAGCTCCTAGGAACTCTGGATATGCTTATGAGCATTTATAGTGAAGGCAGTTTTACCCATGAAATGTTAAGCATAGAGATTAATGTCTCACATATGTGTGAAATGTTAACAGCTTTTTGTTTTCCTTTTTCCCACCTACAGGACCTGTTTGAGAGCTGTTTATTGAGAATGGAAGATAACAGCCTTCTTCATCAGTATTTAGAATTGAGAGATTTTATTAATGTACCTCAGGTAATAAGCAATGTAGAGAAGTCTTTACAGTTTGATTGTAACTAATACCTAGCTGTCTTCTAGGTGTTTGAGAGAGGACATTCTACTGAACCTTTATACACTTGATAAATTGAAACCTTCAGTGCTTTGCTATGTACAATTGCTTGTCTTGTCTTTTCTACCTGCTAGAGCAGGAAGTTTCAGTGACAATTAAAATATCACAGAATATGAGGAGTTGGAAGGGCCCTGGAAAGCTCCCCCAGTGCACCCCCTGCCAGAGCAGGATCACCAGAGCAGTCACACAGGAACACGGCCAAGGCTTTGGGTGTCTCCACACAAGGAGACTCCACAACCTCTCTGGGCAGCCTGGGCCATGCTCCAGAACCCTCACACTCACAAAGTTTCTCCTCATCTTCAGCTTGAACCTCCTGTGCTCCAGCTTGGGACCATTGCCCCTTGTCCTGGCATTGGCCATCCCAGAGCAGAGCCTGGCTCCTTCCTCCTGACACTGCCCTTTCCCAATGGATCCCCAGGAATGAGGGCACCCCTCAGTCTCCTCTGCTCCAAGCTCAAGAGCCCCAGCTCCCTCAGCCGCTCCTCAGCAGGAGATGCTCCACTCCCTGCAGCATCTCATCTCTGTGGCCCTGCTGGACTCTTTCAAGCAGTTCCTGTCCTTCTGGAGCTGAGGGCCCAGCACTGGACACAATATTCCTTATTAAATCTCCTTATTCCTTATTAAATATCCTTAATTTATATACAGGCCACTGATGCAGTTGGGCACTGATCTTGGCTCAAAGATGATGCTTGCTCATTTTTGCTGCTTCCTTGCAAGTCTGCTTGGTTGACACATTCTTATTTGGTAGCGATGAATTCTTGTGTATCAGCCCCGGGATTTCAGCCACTGAAGCTGATGTGAATTGCTCTGATGAGAATCTTCTCGTGGGCATAGTTCTGTGTGCTGTGGATTTTTGGTGGTGGTGTTTTTCTGTTTGTTTCTTTTTTTTTAAGTTCTGCAGTAGATTTTAGTCAGTGTGGTGTGATGTAATGATCCGTATGTATTTAAAAATTCTGTTTTCTTTGTCCAACTGCAGCTTTTGGTGAAAGTTATGACCCTTTGTCCCATGGAGCATCTGGTAAGTAATGTGACCTACAGAATCAGAATCGGTTAAGTACTGAATATATTTAATTAGAATTAATCTGATGAGTTTTTTTCCTTTAGAGACAGAAGAGTTTAAATATTTTGCAGCTGTTCATAGACAAGTTTGACGCACAGGGAAAATACACGTTATTCAGGTATGCATCCAAATTACTGTAGATTGTGTAATATCAGCCTTACTGCAGCTTAATTGTGTAGATATAATGATTTATGTATTATATATGATATATGACAGAGTTTCTGTCTGGTAAAGCACATAAATTTTACTCTGTTAATTTTTGGATAAACAGTTTCAGTTGCCTCACATAAATTCAGCTGTCTTCGTGTTTGAAGGTCACCCAGTCATTTATTTTGCTGTGGTAAAACTCCCACTTAGCGAATAAGGCTGTAATGTTTATGATTTGAGCTAACTATACAGGCAGCTTTGAAGAGATAATGTCTTTTTCTGTTTGAAGGTGTTTACTAAAGACAAGCAACCATGCTGGTGTGGAAGGATATGTTATTAAAAACATAAAAGATCAGATTCACTTAGCATTAACGGTGAGTCCAACAACACTAAAAACCAAGTTGCCACCTCCAAATTCTATCGGTATTGTAGTGAGAAAATGTGTACAGCTTAAGCTACAGCATTGTACAGCGCTACAGGCTTGGGGATGAGTGGCT